AATACTTATTTTTATTTCTATTTATTCAAATCATTAATGAATTCTAATAGTTCTGCCTCTGAAACAGTTCTTCTGACTCTGTCTCACACAAATCAAAAATGCAAAATATTTGAGATGACTTTTTAATTTGAGGTTGAGAGGGAGAGTGATGATTTAATTCACAAGGCATTTTAAATGACAGGTCAGTAGTTCCACTCTGACCCCTCTCGTGAACTAGTTTTGTTTCTTTGGTAGGCAAGAACCATGGATGCAAAGCAGAACTTTCTTAGTTATCTTTTTTAATTGTATGTACTTTTGTATGCTCTTTCTAATATGTTATGAAATATGGAAAGTAAAACAAAACAGAACATACCTTGGTTCCTGCAGGGTTGAATGCGCCGTCCAAGTTATCTGAAGAGCTGGAGACTGACAGCAGGAAGCTTGGGATATTTAGGAATAAATAGGAAACAGCCTTTTCTTTTTCTTTTTAATAGAGATCAAATGATTAGCCATGAGCTGTACCTTTCACCCTTGTTAGTCCAAGTATGGTCAGTGAACGAGCCACATAAGCATCACCTGCGTGCTTTTAGAAACAGACTCACGTGCCCACCTTAAACCTAATGAAGCAAAAGCCACAGATACCAAGCATCCTTAGGTGATTTGTATGCCTATTAAGGTTTGCAAGGCACCACTTCAGAGTGTAAAGCTTTTCTACAGACCTTAGCCTTTCCCACATAGGAGTACCTGTGAAAATAATCTACCCAGGCTTACCACAGTTTAGAACAGCGAATTCTCACAGTGTGGTCCTGGAACAGCAGCATCAGCATCACCAGGGAAGTGTCTGAAATGCAGCGTCTCAGGCGCATCCCAGACATAGTGAATCAAAATCCAAGGGGGAGGATTTAGCTCAGTGGTGGAGCACATGCTTAGCATGCACAAGGTCCTGGGTTCAGTCTTCAATTCCTCCATTAACAAATAAATAAACCTAATCACTACCTCATCAAATTTAATGGTGGGGGCCCAGCGGTCTGGGTTGTAACAGCCCTGCGGTAATTCTGATGCTAATACTAGAGGACCACTGCCCGAGGGTCGGCGGTAACCCTAGGCAGGGACGTAACCCCCAGGGAAGCTCCGTGCCTTTCCTAATGGCTTTGTGAGTGCCTGCAAACACCCACACTGCTGCAGGCACTGCCAAATACCTGAAAAGTGGTTTTCAGGCTAATTCATAATTAGGAGAACCTGAGTCAATTCTGTTTCATTGGGACTGTGAATAATAACACTTAGGAGATACACAGAAAAGTTACAGCTTACAAAGTGCTTTCCATGCTATTTAATTTAATCTTCACTGCAATACAAGGACATATACATAATCATCTCCCACAACAGGTATGGAAACTGAGCTGGAGAAAGATTAAGCGACTTTTTAAAGGGCATGTTGCTGCGAAGGGGCAGGGCTGGTCTTGGAACCCAAAAGCTCAGCTGCAAAGAGACCTATTATCCTTTTGAAAAGTTAAATGGAGGAGGAGTTTTGGATGCAGCGGAAAACTCCAAAATATCTTTATGTTTGGGAAACAAATTTCAGGCATTGAAATTAATAGAGGAAGACCCATAAGAACTAAGATTCACGACTTCCTCCCTAAAGGTTCAACAACAACAGCAACAGTGTGAATATAGAGGGAGAAAGATAAAGCAAACGAGGCAAAAT